GGAGGATTCCCTTCTTCCTTCCCTCCATACTTCCTATCTGACTGGTAGAATTAATTATATTTCTGTTTGTTTTATTGCAAAATCCCAAATGGGGTATCCAGCCCCAAGAAGGTGAAATAAGTACTATTAAGAGAGAAAGGACAATCTACATACTTAAAGGGTATAAAGTCCCATTAATCCCTGCAATGCTATGGGGTCCTTTCTCATCAAATCAAGGTCAGCTTTCCCCATCTCCTAACCTGATTCTTCCAACTGGCAGTGATGGGTGAGACACTGTCTCCACACTAAGCCATGTGCCACAGTACCCTGGCAGGAGAACCCACCAGCTTCCCCTCTAGTTCCGGTAACTCACGCCTCTCCCTGTTTCATCAGACACATGGAGAGCTGCCATTCAACACCTACACGACTCATCATATATTTATTTATTGTCAACTGCCTCCTATGAATTCTCAGTTTTTGCCTATCATTAAATTGCTTCTGGTATAGCTTTCTGTGTCTTGGTTTCCTGCAATGGCCCCTGAGAGTCTAAAATCCCATTTGAATGTATCTCCAACTCCAGGTTATGGTGGGAAGTATGCATAAGTTGAGGAGCTTTCTGATCATTTTTCTCTTTAAAAATGTAAGATAGAAAAGACAATGAGCAATCTGAGTAGAGGGAGGCATTGGCTGAGTTATCTATCTTCTTTGGATCTCCATCCATCCCCACCAACTCTAATGTGAAGGGATTAAAACAAAGCATTTCAAAAGCCCTTTCTAACTTTCAGAAATGAATGTTCTCTTTAGCCATCTGTTTGCTTTTTCGTTTGTTCAATGAACAAATATTGCTGAGATGGAGTGTTGACCAAGCAGCAGACAGGCTAGTAAGACTTAGTTCTATTCCCAGGGAGCTCAGAGTCTAGAGTGAGAGAAGACAACAACACATTTTTAAAAGGTGTATTCAGCATAGCAAAATACTGTCATAGCCTAGAAAAGGAGATAGATCTCCCCGCAAAAGCCTGCTTCCTACTCCAATAGAGACTCCATTACTCCTGTTGCTGAGGCACAAACCATTGGCATCATTCCAGACTTCGCCCCTTGTCTTACGCTCTTGCTTCCCACATTCAACCAGCAGTAAGTGATGTTGGTACATCTTTCAAAATCTGTTAGAATCTGACTACTTGCCATCACCTCCATTGCTGCTATACTGAGCTGACCCTGGCTTGTTTTAATACTCTTCCTGACTCTGATCTTTCCTGCCTTCCATCTAGTGTTCCTCAATCCCTAGATGGTTCCTTCTAAAATATAAAATGGACTGTATCACTCCTCCGTTCAGAAGCATTTGCATCTCAGTTACAGAGAGCTCAAAACCTTCTCCTGACTTGCAAAGACCTGATCTCTGATCTCACCTTTTACTACTCTGGCCCTTGCTGGCTACCCTTTCTATATGCTGAGCATCCTTGAACTTAACCTTTTGCCTGGAGCATAGTTCCCCCTTCTTGCAGATGCTTGTGTAGAAGTTACATACAGCTGTGCAATAAATTACCGCAAATCTTTGTGGCTGAAAACAACAATAAGCAGTTCTGTCTCATAGTTTCTGTGGGTCCAGAATTTGCTCAGTGGTTCTGAGTCACCACCTTTCATGAGGTTGTGGTCAGATGGGGCTGCAGTCTCATCTGAAAGCTTGGCTGGAGCTGGAGGTTCCACTTCCAAGGTGGCTCATTCCCACAGCTGGCTGTTGGTATGAGGGCTATTTCTTTACATGGTGCTGCTTGAATGTCCCCACAACATGACAACTAGCTTCCACCAGAATGATGAATCCAAGAGAGCAAGGCAAAAGCTGCTTCAGGTGACCTGGACTGAAAGCCACACATGATCACCTCTACCACATCCTGTCCATTAAATGTGAGTCACTAAGCCCATACAATATTCGAGGGGAGAGAAATTAATTTCCATCTTTTGATGGCAGGAATATAAAAGGATCTGTGAACATATTCTAAACCACCCAAGCTTCAAGGTTAGTCCCTAATCCTTCAAGTCTCTACTCCCTTGTACTTTAACAAGGTCTTCTCTGATTACTACAAACAGAACAGCAGACCCTCCTCCTATTTCCCAGCACTGATGCTGCTTTATTCATGCCATCATTGATTACCATTCAGTAAGCCATATTTTTATTTACTGATGTGTTACCTGCTTTTGCATCTAGGATGTAAGCTCCAGGATCAAAGTAGGCATTTCTGTCTTTTTCACCACTTCTTTTGAGACAGGTCTTGCTAAGTTTCCCAGTCTAGTCTCCACCCCCTGATTGTCCTGCCTCAACTTCCTGAGTAGCTAGGAGGCATACACCACCACCTGTGGCTACTGGCACCTCTTGTCTTGTTCACTGCCTCCCCACGTGGAGAACTGTCCCACACACATCATGAGCTTCCAGGAAACTGGGGGAAATGCATGCAAGTTAGCCTGGGCCACCACAAGTGCAGGAAGAGGCCAGACTCCTTATGTGATAGCCAGAAATCACAAGCTTTTGAGTTGTTGGGGAAGAGCTAAGGTAACATCACACATGGATAGATGGGCAGGAACAAAGGCCCTGAGATGGAGCCCTTATAACAGGGGAAATGGGGCACACCCGGGGATTCAGGAAAACCATTCCTGAGCAGGACAGAAGGGAGTTCTGCGAGCTTGGAGTTGGCAGGGAGGACGTCTTGGCAGCCCTAATTAGAATCTCTGTCCCTCCTGGGCTTGTAATGTCTCCCTGGCTCTGCTTCTAAAGATGGATGATAAGCGGCTGACAGAGATGGATGTGTTTTTCTGTCCTTTCTTGAATATTGACTGGTCTTGGCTCTGTCCTCTGGAAACCCTACGGAGCAGGGATCTTATCAGCTGCATTTATTCTGAGTCATAAAGCCAATCCTGATGTACTGGTTGCAGGAGAAATGCTCATGCCTTTGCTCGGTGCCTGATCCAAAGGTCTAAAAACAGGTAAACAAGAAGGGAGCACTTGGATTGGACCAAATATGCCTATGACCTCAAACTCCTGAATCTTCCTTGTTAGAAGCCAGAAATTCGAGGGTCAGGCTTTTCAAAGGCAACTTCCTGTCCCTTTCTAAGACTCAAATAGAGAGGTGGGGCTCATAGGTGACACCCAAGTATTAGTTGAAGCTTATGTCAGTGGCAGCAGAGGAAATTTCGGGCCTTCATGGGAACTGCTGTCTTAAGTAGGTGGTCTCACACCTCTTATGTTTCAGGATAATTTGCTTATAAGAAAGTAAAAGGGAAAAAATAAAAATCAAATTTAAATTTTTAGAAAAGTGGGAAAAGCCACTTTCTAGACCTTTTTGTTTCCATAGATTATCTCACTTTGTCTTCACAACCACTCAACAGTACACAGGCTGGTATTATTTCCTATTTTATAATTGAGGAAACCATACCTCAGAGGTTTTAAGGGAGTGGCCTCAAGTCCTACAGATACTGAGTGGAGAAGGCAGTATCTGAATGTGGGTATACAGTCTCATCCCTGCCAGATCCACTGGGGACGTATTTCAGCGCTATAATGGATGGCTGAAACCAAGGCTAGTAGAGTGTGGTACGGGATTAACAATCATAACTAATACTACAATGATAATATACTATAATAAAAGCTATGCAGATCTGATTCCTCTCAAAATATCAGATTGTTCTTTCACTTTCTCACATAAAAGAAGCACTTTTTGGCTCGTCTTTGGCATATCCAAACTCGCACATCATTATCTTGCATTTTGGGGCTACTGTTACCTAAAATGAGGGTTAGTTGAACACAAGTGCTACAATGCAGTGTGACTGCCAATCAGATGGCCAAAATGACTTCTAAGGGACTAACAGGTGCATGGTGTGTCCAGTGTGGACATACTGGATAAAAGGATAATTTACATCACAGGAGTGACAGAGAGGGATAGTGTGAGATTTCATCACAATACCCAGAACAGTGAACATTTAAAACCTATGATTTGTTTGTTGGTGGAATTTCCACTTGATCTTTTTTTGTTTTTAAATGTTTTATCTAAATCAATACAAATAGATATGAATAAAGAAAACATAAAATCATTCTTCTACGAAAAAGAAAACAATTTCATAACAAAATAATAGGAGAATAACAGTGGTTAGTATACTGTGCATCATGATCTTAAAAGAATGGTCAAAATATTACTCAGTGCAAAAACAGATTCTTACAAAGAAGAAACAAACACGTAAAAGAACAAAACTTCTTTTCAATGAACAAAAGAAACTAGTAGTATAAAATGAAACAAATTAACATTTATCTTAAAATATTTTTGAAACAATAGATAATACAAGGAGTTATTTGAACTTCTCTCTATTTTTTCCTGTTTATCTATCTTCTATTTTGGTCTGTCTTCTCAGTTGATGAGAGAAAGAGAGAGAGAGGGAGAGAAACAGATTCTCAGTTGACAAGGGGTGGAGTTTCTCAGTTGACTGCAGGTAAATGAAACCTCAAAAAGCAAAACCAGGGATAAGAAGGGACAGATAAGGCAGTGAAATGCAATAGAAGTGGCAAAGCATAGTTTGAGCTAATGGTATCACGCTTTGGCCTGTAACTGTGTTTTGAGAAAGGAAATGAAATGCTAGTTTCCAGCATCTCTAGGTGGTTTAATCAGGAAAGGACAGGGTATGTTGCACTAACAAATAAACCCTGACATCTGAATAGCTTAATCTAATGAGGGTTTATTTCTCTCTTGCACAATCTGATGTGGCTCAATTATCTCTGCTACATCAAGAAGCTTCACCTTTTTGAATATAAAACGTCCAAGATAACTGTGACAGAGGAAGAGATAGCTGGGAAAGTCACATAGATCTTACTGCCTTGAGCCGCAAATGATATGTCACTCCACTAAGTGACAATTAGCCAAAGGTAATCCAAAGGCCTGAACATAACTCTAAAGGAAGCTGGGAAATAACACAAAGAGTGACTATTTAAAGAATAGTGTCTCCATATATCCTAAGACTTTTCCTCCTTATTTTGTTGCTTATAGGACAGAGCCCGAGAGCAGTCCCATGGTTTCAGCACAGGATGGGTCTTCTGAAAAGCTGGGCCAACGTCTGGCCACCGAGGCCTTGGGCACAAACAGCTGGGAGAGAGACAAGGCCTGTCGGGAGCTGGGTCCTGCCAGAGCACAAAGGTGAGACGCTGTTTTCTTACTCTCTCCAGTCCAGTGGAAGAGTTCAAGTTGAAGATATAGCAGTGAAGTTTGCCTCTCTGACCACTTTCCTCCTCTCTCTTTTACAAGTTCTTCTTTCATATCCTTAAATCTGAGATCAGTGCATTTTTTCTATAGTGGACAAAATGGTAAATATTTTAGATCTATGGACTGATGGTCTCTATCACAACTACTCAACTCTGTCTTTGTGGCACAAAACCTACTATAGATATTACACGAACAAATAGGAATACAGAGTTTCAATAAAACTTTATTTATAAAAACAGGAAGCAGGCTAAATTTGGCCCATTGGTTAGAGCTTGTTGACTACTACCTTAAGTGAAGGAACTCCTCTCCATTTTAATGATTCTATGAGCCTTTGACTCCTAAATCATGCTTCAGCACAGATTTAGCTCCTGGGTTCAGGTCTTTTTGAACACCTGCTATTTAATAGGTACTGTGCTATTAACTGATGACACAACATCGTACTGATGCTTGGAAAGGTGAGAACTGACTTGCCCAATATATGGCAGCCTGTAAATAGCGAAGTGCAGTTTTTAATTCCAGTATCTTTGATCTTAAACCCTAGACTAACATCCACCACATTATCCTACGGATGCTAATGAAAAACCAGCCTCTCTGCCTCCTTCTATATTTCAATTTTGTTGCTTACACATATAAAGGTCTGACCTGTTTTTGGCCTGTGGAGAATCGGAATATATTTGCAGAACTATCTTTATAATGCAGCTTCACCAGCTGGATGAAACCTTCATCCCTGCTGCCCTATTAACCCGCCCTGCTCATGTGCTCTGAGGCTGGACCTAACCCCAGTGACAGGTGGAAAGTGAATCTGGAGTCTTGCTTCCTGATGTGAAATCAGAGGGTATCAAAGCCATTTTATTGAGAAAACTGAGGCCAGTCAGTGGCAGGACTGAGGACCCTGACCATGGCTTAAATTTTCTCCTTCCATTTTGGGGCTCTTGGTTTCCTAAGGGAGAAGTTTAAAGCCACACTGGATGTCCATCTGAGAATGAGATGAAAGCTATCTGTGTTGTCTCCAGGAAAAATGTCTGTGCTGCAAGAATACTCTGAAAACTCTGTGTATCATTTTAGAAGGTTCGTAGACCCCAGAGGCGGATGAACAGGGACTCCTGGTTAATAAGCCCAATTAATGAATTTTAAAGTCAGAGTAGCTATTACTGATGCAGCATCTTTTGGTATCCCAACTACTGGCTTTGGCTGGGCTGTGACTTCAATGAGGGAGAAGCAGTTAAGTTGGACCAGCTCTTCAGAAGTGAAGGGATGAAGTTCAATATCCCATCTGGATAGTACTCTCCAGGAAACAGGCAGAAAGCTGTTTCTGCAAGAGGCTGAGGGAGATGAAGAGAGAAAGGAGGAGGAAGGGAATTTCTGTACTTTTAAAATAGCATCTTTCAGATGGCCAAAGGGAAGTCCAAGTATTATAGAACCGTGTGTACGCATTTGGATTCTACCACTGACCAACTGAATGAACATGGGAACATTCTTTATTCTCGTTGGACTTCAGTTTTCATAACTCTAAAGGGGGAATATTTAAATCTCATTCTCAAGAGCATGGTGAAGATTAAACTAGATCAGGCATGTAAGGTCCTTGTGGCAGGTCTAGAACATAGAAAGTCCTTAAAAAAATCTTAATTGGAATTTCTTGAAACCATTCTGGACACAAAAGTCTAAAAACTGATGCCATGTTGCCAACTCAGTTATATGGCATGTGGGCCTCTTAATCACTTCTGTGGCTAACTTTCTGATGAGTTAAAAATCACAATAATGATGATAATAATATTAGTAATGATAATAAAAGTCATAATAATTATACTATAGTCGTGCATCACTTAATGACAAGGATACACTGTGATTAATTTGTACTTGAGAGATTTCATCATTGTGTGAACATCTTAGAGTATCTCACCGAAACATAGATGGCATAACTTCTACATACTCAGGCTGTATGAGGCTATCTGGTATATATACGTGTATGTTATATAGCCCACACATTCTCTTAGGGCCGTGATGAATAAAACAACACAAGATTAAATCAATCACAAGAAAAAATGAGGTAAACATGAAATTATGAGGTTGCACTGGCCTAACATAGCATAGTGTTTTACAGTACAACTTTCTTTTTAAAAATTGAAGTACATTCTAACAATGTAAGTATAGTGTAGTAAATACACAAGTCAGTGATAGTAATTTATTATCACTGTCAAATATTATATAGCATACATAATTGTATGGGCTGTACTTCTATATGCTTGGCAGCACAGTAGGTTTGTCTTCACCAGTATCGACACACACACACACATGCACACACGCACACGAGTAATGCATTGTGCTGTGATGTCACTAGTCGATAGGAGTTTTTCAGCTCCATTATCACCTAATGGGACCGCTCTCCATCATTGATTGAAAGGTCATTATGTGAGGCATGACTGTAACAAAAGACTCTTTTACTGTAAACATACTCTGCTAGGCCAGGGCACTTTTCACAAGTCAGCTCCTTATTCCTGGGAGCAACTTATGACACTGGAACCACATTTTATTTTCTACTTTTAGATGATGAAAATAAAATTCAGAAAGGTCACTGAAGTAGGAAGTAAGAAACCTGAACTTTGAATCCAGCTTTGTCAGGTTCTAGAGTCAGTACTTCTTACTACTACATTCTTAATATTGCATATTTAGCCACTGTGTATTGAATCATGGCATATTGTCTTAATCACTTGCTCATCACTAAGACATTCAACACCTGCAACTTAGGAGAGGACATGTTTATTTTAGCTCACCATTTCAGTGGGCTCATTCCATGGTTGGCAGGGTCGCAGGCAGGGGTGGCATGATGGAAGGGCCTGGCAATGGGAAGCTGCTCATGTCATGGTCACTCCTGGTTAGGAAGCAAAGAGTACAGGGAGGAGCCAGGAAGGAAAATACACCTTTCCAGGTTACAGCCCAAGTAACCCACCTCCTCCAACCATGACCCACCTTCCAACACATTTAGCCCTTAACTCACCAGTGGATGAATCCACCCACAACCACAACACACTCATGATCCAGCCACCTTCCAAAAGCTTCACTTCTGAGAGCATGAGAGTTTGGGGTGTCATTCTTTTTAAAAAAATTTTTGATGCGGGATCTCACTATGTAGTTCAGACTGGCCTTGAACTCACTATGTTTGAGGCTGGCCTCAAACTCGCAGCAATCCTCCTGCCTCAGCCTCCCAAGATCTGGGATTACAGGTGTGTGCCACCACACCCATGGGGGTCATTCTTGATTTAATCCCAACACATATATATCCGCTGCATATGTAACCAGTACATACTTCACTACTGCATATGTAACCACTGAACAGTTCAACATCACTGCCTTCTTATCATCTGCCTAATCCACCATCTGTACTTAACCACTGCATTCTTTACAAGTATGAAGTTAACTAGTACTCACGTAGCAAAGGTAATCACTGTGCTTAACTATTGTACCTATAACCACAGCATATACAAGCATTGCTTGCTTAACCTGTGCACACATAACTATGGTGTACTTCAGCATGATACTGCCCCTTCCAGCCCTTCTATGATACACACCCAGGGGAACTAGTGCAGGGGAAAGTAGTAGAGGAAATGTATATCTATCTGGGCAAGGGCATTCAGGAATTATTGAGGGAGTTGATTAATCACCTCATGTACTTCAAATCTGTCCAAATTTAACAATCTTCTCAGTTTTACTCTGTAACTTAAAGCTGATTCAAGGACAGTGGCTCTCAAATGGTGCACCCCTAGGACCATGGGTTCCACAAATTAAGCGTACTTGACTGAAACAGTGGGATATCTTTCTTCGTTTTACAAGAAATAATTTTTAAATGTTTAAAAAATTTTCTTCTTTAGTATTTCTCTTTTAAATTTTTTCCTCTCAAATTCCTGGCAGCTGTTACACTGGGAAATTTTCATATGAAACACGATGGTTTAACAAGTAACTAAATTATTTTACCCATTCATCCCTCACTTTGGTCACTTGACAGATATTTATTAGACTCTTGGTCTCTGTCAAGCACTCTTTGGAGAACAAATTTGGAAGTGGCCCACCACATTTATGTAAAGCAGCCTGTTTGCTTCCTGGATATGCACACTGTTCTTTGTGTAAGTGGGATTAAGTAGCTAAGTACTTCATTCCTATGATACTTATTTTTAACCTGCTAAAAGTGACTCTACTGGAAATATTATATATGTATAAGTGTATTATAAGTATATACATGAGATGCAGAGACGGTAACATATATTCTAATCACTTTATCATTCTTCTGATAATCCTAATGAGCCAAATCCTTATAATAGAATTAAATATGGAAGTATTTTATGATGGTCTATAAGGAGTTGGGTAATTTCTAGCTTTGGCCACACAAGTTTGAGAAAGCAGCTGCTTTCTGAGAAAGCTTTCAGGGCACAAATCTCTAGGTTTCACTCTCAGTTTAGGTAATTCCTAATTTTTGGTCACAGACAAGTCAATTCAACTTTCTAAACCTTGTTTTCTTCATCTGTAAAATGAGACAATAAAATACCATCCTCAAGACTTTTTTGTGAATATCAAAACACATAAAACTCTTTACAGATAATGCATAAATGCTAGTTTTGTTGCTATTAAAACAATGGTAATAATATTATTAATTATATATTTTCCCTCAAGGTTCCATTGGATAGGCATGTTTTTCATCCCAAACTATTTCTCTTTGCTATGGGATAGTGTTTTTAAAAAATCCCTTATAAAAGAAGATAACTTGACTTCATTTAACTACAGCCCGAGTATTTGAATTTAATTGAATGGGAAATAATTATCCCTGAAGAGTGGAGGTTTTTGAGGCTCTGTGAGGCGATGTAAGATATGTATCTCATTACATTAGACCTCGGCAAATATACTTTAAATAATCAGCTGCTACTTAACATACTTTCCACCTCCTATTAAGTTTCCAACAGGATCTACAGACAGGATGGATCTGGGAGGGAAGGGGCCGAACTGCCAATTAATTATGTAAAAAGTGATTTATTTACCAAGGTGAGCCATTTGCAAATTCAATAATACATCTATTAAGGAGTAGTTAACCTCTATAACTCTGTTTTAAATAATCAATTGGTGTTTGGGTAACGTACAGTGTCTTTCTCATTAGTTGGCATTACGCCTTTATTTGAGGCACTTAATCTGAAGTGTGACCGAGTCAGCCATGAGGTGGTAATTAGGTATTCGCTATGGGTCCCTGAACCTCCAAGGAGTTGGGCCCTTCCCCTTGCATGGCTGCAGCAGCCCTGACTGGGGGTAGGGGAACCTCAGGTCCTCTGATTCCACATCTATTGCTCCCCACAGTGCCTCCCGTGACCGAGACTTGACGCCACCGCCTTCCTCCAGGGGGAAGAAGAAAAAGAAAAAATCAACCCGGAAGAAGAGAAGGAGGTGAGCTCAAAAGGGGGGATGAAACCTTAAAGAGGGGGAAAGAGATAGAAGAGGGACAAATAATGGGTTTTGGACTCCAACAGTGACTCCCCTTTGGATCAGATCCCCTTTCTGCCCTTAACTAGCTGCATGACCTTGCACTCCACTTCTCAGTGCCTTTTTTCTTTTCTACAAAATAGTAACAACAGCTGCCACATGGGATTTTGTGAGCATTAGATGAGAAATGGATGTGGAAACAGCTGTCACAGTACCAGGCACATAGTAAATGACCAATTAATATGGAATAAAGTCGTTACCATAAATACTGAATTTTTTTTTCAGTGCTTGCTTAATACAAAGGATTATGCTAAGCACTCTGGTCTCCACAATCTCTTTTATTCCTGACCAGGATCTACCAGGCAAGCATTATACTTCCCATTTTAGAGATGAGAACAGAAAGACCCAGAGAAGGAGTTACAGAATCTGCAAGGACTTGACTCCTAGGCTCCTCAGTTGCTTCCAGTGCACCCACCTACCAGGGAAATGCCTAGAATAATGGGTGGATTTTATATTCTTTGTCAGCTAGTGACTCTTTTATACTCTATACATCGTTTTCTATATGCAATTTCTTTTCACCTTTTTGCTTGTGAGCTGCCACTCATTAGACTAAAAACATGTCCAGTTTTTCAGCCCCAGAGTTCTGGGCTCCTTTCAAGGGTCTCCAGTTGAGAATCACATCAGACCTTGGACACAGTATTTATAGAAGTCTGCAGGGGGCAGCAGAGAGCAGTGTCTGAACCATTTGGGCTTCACCTCTAGGTTTTTCTGGAACCCTGCTTCATGGACATCCCTTTAAATCAAATTCTAAAAGGACAAGGCCAAAGAGGACCCAGAGGGGACCTGGGTGAGGACCCTGATTTCCAGCCATTACAGGGTAGGGAATGGAATTGGAGCAATGGCTTGAGTTTCCTGATTTTAGGAGTTGATGGAAGTTCAAAGAAGGAAACTGATCATTAGGTTTCACTGACTTTTCATTCAATAAATGTTCACTGAGCACCTGTTTCAGGGCAGACTTTTTAATTCCTTGAGGGACAAGTTATTCCTCCGCCATTTTCTCTGATGACATATTTTGTTTGACCTGTAAAGGGTTTTGTTTTTTCTTTTTAATTAGTGGCTAAAATTTAAATACCAGGAGATTTCATATGAAATCATAGATTTCTGGAGGCTTCTATTTAAAGGGCAGGTGCTTTGGAAACTCAAGGCCTGTGTTCCCACACCAGACCATAGGCTGATTAGAGAAGCAGCCACCCCTCCAGTGGGCTGCTTTCCGGTTCCTTGCAGTCCCTACTACTCCCTATTGTCTTCCATCAAGTCTGCTTTATTTATTTATTGAAGAGGCTTTCATGGCCATTGAGTTTGCAGCATTCACTCCAACCCTGCTCTTTTGTCACTGGGGGAAACAACAGACCTAGCGACAAGCCATCCTGTGCCCCAGGTGACTCTGTGAGTTGGTGATGGAGTCAGAATTGGAGCTTGAGTCACTGAGCCATCACCGTGAGCTTAGGGCACCATGAACTTAGGGCATCTCGGGCACCCAGGCAGCCATGCTGTGACTGCTTGGTGAGACCTTGTTCGGGGGTTCAGTCTTATCAAGTTGGGGTAGAGGGGAGACACACAGAACATGTGAAGAGAATCACAGCCCACCAGGAGAGCAAAATCCTTAAGATGAGAGAGGAATTTCCACTTGAATCCCAGCTCATCCACTTGTTAGCTGTGTATCTCTAGGAAGGGCATTTCACTTCTCTGAACCTCACTTTCATTGTCTAAAAAAGAAGGGTAGCAATTTTACCTACCTAACAAATAAGGAGAGGGATTACATGAAATAATACATATGAAGTACTTGGTGATATTTAAAACAAATGCAAGCTACTGTCAAGATTGAGATTATCCTTGATGGGTGGCTCCCAAAGAGCCAAGATCATAGATAGGGTCTGGGGAAGGGATTGTAGAAACCTCCCTATGAAGTATGTCTTCCTCCCCACAGGTCCCCATCCTATAGCCCATCACCTGTCAAGAAAAAGAAGAAGAAAAGTTCCAAGAAACATAAGCGACGCAGGTATCGCCTTTCCGCCTCTGCAGACAGAGTTGTCCCAGGTTGGATAGAGGTTGGGGCATCAAAAGGTCATTTGGAAGCATCTCATGTCATTTATGTAGCATATACATTATATCTATGTTTTGTTGTTTCTTCGTATATTATAGAAAACAGGACTGTATTTGGGAGGACCAGAGGTAGCTAATGCTAACTAGAGCCTGAAGGGAGACTTGATTAGAAGAAAGCAGGAGTGTCTCAGGGACCAGTCAGGCCTAGGTGAGGGGCTGGGACCAAGGAGTGGAGAGCTAATAGAAGTCAAGCAGGGCCCCGAGTTTCCTCTGCTTCCTGGTCCCTGGGAGGGGACAAGGCTGGTCCCTGTCCCATCTCTCCACGTTGAAAGTCAAGCCACAAGCAGACCCTGGACTCCCTGTCTTGTTCCTTATTCCAAATTCCCAAGAAAAGGCCTCTTGGAGGGGTCCATGTGCATCATGGTGGGTGGGATCATGTTGGAAAACATGGCTGTTGGGATGGCTTACCCTTTTGGATGGGGAGCAGAGCATTATGAACTGGAAGATAGCGTCCACTGTACCACACAGGAATGTATGTTTGGAGGTGGGGAGAGGGAAGGATGTACACCAGAGGGCTCCAATTCATGGTTCACAGACCAAGCCAACACGTTATAATTGGAGATTCTGCAGTGCAAAAATCCAGTGTCACAGTTCCTCTGTACAGGAAGTTCTGTCTTCATGGGCCATTTCCCATAGGCAGCCATCACTTGACACCAAGTAGCTACTGTGCATTCAGAAGGAGCAGCACTCCGCATTGTTCTCCCCACTAACCTACATTTTCCAAGCCCTCTGGTCAGCTGTGGATAATAGGAAAATGTTGTTTATATTTTATTTTGCTTATTTTTATCTTCTAATTCTACTATTTGAACTTTGAATGATTTATACAATTAAACAAGCATGGAATCAAAGGTAAGAGATCATTGGGTTTTCCCTCTGCAGCTGAAGCCCAGTTCAGAGGGTGCCCAATGTGGCATTTCCCAAGCCAAGGGTTTGGCGTTCTCTTAACCTGTATTGCTAGAATGTCCCAAGCTCACATTGCTCTCACTGGTTATGTCTATTACCTGTCCAGACTTTTCTGTGGATGCTTTCTGAGTTTGTGCTTCATATAAGACATGGAAAAATTAGTGAATGAATACAAGACTTGAGCAATTAGTGAAATCTTGTTAATTTGCTGTCAGAAATCTTTCTACCATGGAGCCCATAGTAGTAGTCAATGTCATGCCTATGAGTGTAGACTGACATCTTATCGCCTTCTAAGGCTGAACAATCCATACCAGTGTGAGGGACATTTCTACATGAGGATTCTGGAAGCCAGATGGCTTCTCACCAAAGAGTTCCTTCTTATGAGAGAGATTTGCCAGAACGTTAGAAATAGGCCCTCTCTTTGCACTACAGCAGTCAGAGGTTTGGAGCCTGAGAGGGGAAGGGGTCATAAGACAGAGATGATGGGAAATTGCAGGTCCTTCCCAAGCCCTCATCTGCTGAGCACCTCCCTGCTCCTGGTCCACCTTCTCCAGTTTCACAACATACTTAGTTAATGATGGTTGATTTTTTTTTTCTTGGAAGTTGGAGCTAGGGATAGGGGAATCACGGAGGGTTTTCCTTCACTTAATTAACAAAGCTTGAGAGTTTATTAAAAATCTCATTTTTCATATCTCTTTAACAAGCACCCATTATACTATCATGAATGAGGATTCCAGGCCCCAGAAACAGAACAGTGACCCAAAACCCAGCTTCTGCCTTCTAAGTGCTCATGTGCTATTGGGGGAAATGGGTGATCATAATGGGCAGAAGACTGTTCTCTGATAAGGACAGGTCAGAAACTCACCTGGGGATTGAAGGAACAGAGAGAAGGTATTGGCTCATCTTAGAGACTCAGAAAATGCTAGGGAATGCTACAGTGAGAAAAGGAGATCAGAGGGGAGCTCCGGAGTAGGAGTAGAACCTATGCTGGTGAAGCCGTATGGCCATGGGCAACTTGCTAACACCTTTGTGAGCTTCAGTGTCTTTGTCTGGAAAGGTATCTATTAACAGTGCTCTGAGGTTTGGGGGAAGATTGAATGAGATTGTGTGTGCTGGATGCTTAACACAGAACCTGGCATGCAGTAAGTTTCATGTAGGGAAGCTGGGGCTCTCATGATGATGAGGAGGAGGAGGAGGAGCAGGCCGGGGTGGGGGTGGGGGGGCAGAAATCCACACTAAAGAAGAGAGAAGATGAGAGGGAGAAGAGGATTCTGTTATGGTCCCCTCATCCAACCTCTTCCAGGACAGGCTTGCCGAACACTTTTGGGTGAGGACTGGAGCATTGGTCATCTTTGGCCTGAACATTCAATCTGCAAATCAGTAATTTCCATGTCATCTTCATATTCTCTAAAATGTAATAGAGGAGGGGGATGGCTAAATGTTCTGGTCTCCAGGTAGCATAATCCCAAACATAATGATGCATTCATTCCAGAAGCAGAATCCCAAACTCACCCATATTTATTCTTTCCTTTCCCTTCTTTGCTCCTACTTCCTTCCTTTTTCTTTCATCCCTCTTTTTTCTCCTTTTCTTTCTTCCTCTATCTTTGCTTCTCTCCTTCCTTACCCCCGCCTTTCTCTTCAAACAGGTCATTTTCCAAGAAAAGAAGGCACAGGTAAGAATCTGGCAAACTCTTGCTACTTGTTCAGCTTTCATCTTCCCCAGCCAGGCTTTGGGCACCTTCCTGAATTAGATCTCAGTCTCCATCTTTATGTTCTTGGGCCTCAGTTTCCACCAAAATGAACATGTATCTTGGTTTTCCTGAATGTTCTAAGCCACCTTTTAACTTCCACTGGGCTTGATGATTGCCCCTGGATTCACCACGTGGGTGTCCTTCCCCAAAAAGCACCTTTAGCTCTGCCTGAGTCTGTTTACCACTGGTAGAAACTTTGAGATGGGGCATATGCAGAACATCTGTTCCATTATTCCACCTAAACTTTCCACGAGCTGGCCAGAGACACAGAGACCAAATCCTGGTGTATCAGAAACACTGAGTGACCATAAATAAAGTTTTCACCTATTGGAGACTCACTGCAATGCAGACCTTGCACTGAGCCCTGTCCTCAAGTGCATGTATTTAATCCTCATTAATTCCCATCACAACTTTGTGTAGAAGACATGTTGACAGTCCCTGTTTTACAGATGGAGAAACTGAGACTAAGAAGGGAGATGTAATAGGAATGTCCATAGAGCTAGATGACATCAGCACCAAAATGCAAACTCTAATCTATCAGACGGGATCAGGACAGGTGTCGGTGGCTTCTTAAATAACAGTATCCACATGTACAGCACTTTGCTGAATTCCAAGCCCCGTCATTTATTCATTTAATGCATGGACAGTGATTTCCAATGTCATCCGTCCACTTGGCTCCACAGCCTGAACAATGATCCTATTTCAAGGTTGAGTAAAATGGGTCTTGGAGAAGACAAGTGACTTGTCTGACACCACAGAGCAAATAAGCAGCAGAGCTGGGACTTGACTGTGATCTTTGGGCAAAGTCCTGGACCGTTCTGTGGCTGAGGTGTGGCCAGCTTAAAGGCCCAATGTAGCCAGGTGAAAATGACTCCCTTCCAAGGACCTTCGCAGTGATGCATTCTTAGTGACCCTCTGAAGCCAGTTTGGCTTGAAGTAACAAACTAGTGTTCACCTTCTTGGACCTCATTTGATTACCTGAGACCCTGAGTCCCCACCAGCTGTTCTATCCACAGCCCAGCTCTCTGGCTCAGAAGTTTTTTAAAAACCTGAATATTTGAATACGCAGGCACAGAGTATTTCAGAATCTGCCAAGTTCCATGAGTATCACATTTCTCTTCTCTTGTAAATTAAACTAAACAGCAGTCAAAAGTATGGACTTTGGGGACCCATGATCTGGGGCCTCTTTCCAGCTCACTTCTGTGACCTGGACAAATGTCTTAGCCATTCAAGACTCAGTGTCCACATCTGTAAAATGGACCCTTATGAAATGACATCTCCTCCCTTACGCTGTGGGGATAATAGAATGAAAATTACTGGTCTAAAGTATTTAGCAGCGTGCCCAGCCTATCCTACAGCCTCCAACAATGACAGATATTGCTACTCTTATCTTCATTGCCACTGTCATTTTTAACTTATCAAGGCAGAGCTTAGCATCCTCAGCTCTTCCTTCTCAGCATGCATGTGTGAGTCAGTATCCTTCTCGGGGCTTACGGCATGAGGAAGTTGATATCACCTCTCTAGTCCTGGGCAGTGGTCAATGTCCTTCCCCAAACTGCCTGGATCTAGTGGGCTATTACATGTTCAGCATTTTAACTACTTGTTTATTTTTATCTTTAATTGCATTTTAGTGTGTTTTTCACATCTTTTCGATTAATTGGACATTTCTTATTTAGCTCCTCTAGCCCAAAAAGCAAAAGAAGGGAAGAGAAGAGGCACAAGAAACAGTAAGTAGGCATCACCGGATTGGGAATCGGAGACCTGGCTTCTAGCAGCCAGAGGGGTAGCTGCCAAACAAACAAGGAAAGGGAGGAGGGACTAAGGAAGGGAAAAAAAGAGACAGAGGAGGAGCTGTGTGTGCACTTGAAGTTGTGGGTGTGGTGTGCATGAGTGCACTGGATTGTGTATCTGATACAACGTGGATGTGTGTGCATGTGCATTTATAAGTGCATGCAACTGTACAGTGTGCATGTGTTCCCACAGTGTGTGCACCTTGTGTGTGAACCATGTACATATTTATATGTGGTACATCTATCTGCACTGTGCACATTGTTTGTAAATGTCTGCCTGTACATTTTTTTGTCATGCAAACATTTGTGTATATTATGTGCACAAATGCATACAATGTGGACATATATTGTGTGTATGTGGTAACTACTTGTGTTTACATGAATGCATTTATGTGTCTGTGCCTTATTTCAACATGTATGTGAGTGGTATGCATAAAGGTGCACCATGACCAGTGTGTATGAATTCTATGCACTCTGTGTGTGCAGTGTTTTTATGTTTATATATCTGTGTGCATAACACATACAGGGCATGTGTGGTGGTTTCTACATGTGTGTGCTGTGTGTGCATGGATCATGGGGCTCTGATCATGTGTGTTCATGTGCACGAGCAAGTATGTGCATCCATGCCGTGGCTCCTGGGTTTACAGGAAGGAGCTATCAGTAAAGCTCCTGCCCCGGTCTCGAGGCCCCAGCTGTTTCAGGGTTTATAGCTGGTAGTAGAAATTCAAATCAGCCACTGCTGCCTGTGGAGTTCAGTTCCCAACCAAATTAAAAGTAAATTTGGTTACAACCCACCTATTTTATACCCTGCAAATGTTAGTGCATGTTTTCCAATCAACTAATATTTTATCTCCTGCCAAGAAGCTTCTAAAGAGACGATCAAAGACAATAGGATGAAAGGTAGTCGGTTGCTGGGGAGGGGAAAGAGGAGGCAGGAGCACAGAGGGAGCTCGCCCAGCTTGGCTGCCCCAAAGGGTTGCTTCACTCAAGGTCAGTGTGAAGGAGGGCATTTCAGCTGCTGCCCCGAAGTCCTGGGAAGGGCTCTCTAGAGCTTCTAGTTAGCTTGGGGCAGAACTTCCCAAATCAGGCTTGTTTAATACAAGTCAGAATTATTAATCACATATATGGAGATATCGAGTGTGTTTTCATATTAGGCACAGATAGAGCACGTGTGCTCAGAGATCCCAGCATTACATGTGCAGTGAGGCTACAGGAGAGGGGGTCACAAGAGCACCAGGAAGGACATGGTGGCAAGGGAGCCTCTCTGGTGCCGAGGGCTGGATGAGTCTCAGAAATTGTGAACAGAGCCTCAGAAATCTTATGTAAGCTAGAGGGAGAGAGAGAGAGAGAGAGAGAGAGAGATCAAGGAAAGCAAGACAGCAAGCCATCCTTATGGTAAATGATGGTTTATTCTCACCAAGCCCATGGTCACAGCTGCTTCTAAGCACTGAAGTGACTCAGCTCCCTTTTATTTAACAGCCCTCACTGTGGCTTAATATACGGCAGCCCTGTGCTAGGCCCAGGGACAGAGGTGAGAGACATTCTCCTGGGCCAGAGGAGCTCACAGTGGACAGATGTGGGACAGTGGTGGCAGCAGCAGATGGAACTCCAGGCCATAGGGGCTTCCTGCAGGAGGGGGTTTCCAGGCAAGGGTGGGAAGTAACTTCTAGGTTAAGCAGGTGGTTTGCACTCTCTAGGTCCCCATCTCTTCATTTGTAAAATGGGAATAATAAGAAGAGCTACACCATAAGTCATTGTAGGGCATAAATGTGTCTATTGAAACAAAATGCTTAGAGCACAGTACCTGGCATGAAGCATGTGTCAGGTATGGCGGCCTGTCATTGTCATCATCTCCAACATCAGGGCATCATGAACTGGGATACGTGCTAGCCATGATACGGGTAGGGAGTTAGACGTTTAAAGTTGTTGGAATCTGCCCAGCCAGAGCAAAAATATCAAAACCTGTGGCCAGAGAGCAGGACAGGCGTTAGCACCTGAAGATGCTTTGGTTTCAAAATCAGAGTTTGAACTCGATGTAAAGACAATGGGAATGTTTTACACACGGAAGAGACAGGACCTGATGATTACATTAGAGGAATCTCTGTATCCTTTCTTGAGACAACCAGACTGCCTCTCAATAGAATCATCTCTAACTACTACTGGCTTCCCAAGCCATTGACATGCTTTTTGGATCCTTAGCCACCACTACCACTGCTAGCACTGCTTCCGGATTATTATTATCGCTTACAAGTAGCTGAGGTAACCTGTAGTAATCCCATTATAGTAGTGATGGTAGTAATCGCTGATGATTATGTGTGGAGCCCATTCAGAAAGGCTTTCTACTCCATGCTAAGGATCTGGACTTTATTTCCAGGTCTGAGGTTACAAATTGGCAGCCCAAAGGCCTAATTTACTCTGCAAATTGTGTTTTGCTTTCCCCAAAATGTATCTTTCTCTTTTCACAAAAAAAAAAAAAAAATGAGTTTCCATTTAAAATAGGAATATTTTACATTAAAAATATCTATGTTTTCACATTTGCTTGAAAAATTCAAACATCCAGCACTCCACTCTTCTGGAGGCAAAGCGGCCCCTTCTCTTTCAGCCCAGGCCTTGGGTTGGTAATATTTTTAGTGCCTGGCTGAGTTCCACATTTAGGGTACCTGATGGGTCCCTGAAGCCATGCAGAATGGAGACTACTATCTTAGCCGAGAGACAGGGAACATGGGGTGGGGAGTGGCTTTCTGCCCAGCATATGACCTGCACCAGGTCTGCTTGCAGTTTGGGGGCAGGGCAGGCCCTGAGTCATCCACATTCCCTCCAAAGGACTCTTTTCTGTTCTGCCGTGTTCAGTACCTCTGGGTGGAGGCCCCCGAATACCCAGGAAGCTGGGGTGATGCAAAGCAGGGCTCACAGACCTATGGGAGGGACTGTGACTCCTTGAGTACCACATGGATATGTGCCATAGATCAATCTCTCTCTCTCTCTCTCCCCCGTCCCACCCCGAATCCCCAAGATCCCGCAGCCGGCCCCGAAAGTCTCACCGCCACCGCCATCACCGCTGTCCCTCTCGGTCCCAGAGCTCAGAGTCTCGCTCCTCCAGCTATGAGAGCAGGTAACCCCTTGCCCAGTGAAGCCGGGTCATCCCACTTGTGCCCTGAGACCAGGCTAAGGTGACAGGACTGTCATCGCCAGCTTTGCTCAGTGCTACCCCTGCCCTACTCTCAGAAGGGGCGGCAGTACAGATTGGGTGGAGGGGGGTTACCTCACTGACTGGATGGACAGTGGCACTAGGGAAGCCATACACATGCTTTCTAAGTGCCTGTGATGCCACACTTTGTATATGGACTCACAGGGTCCTCTCTACACCCGCACTGAAGAAAGTACTACTGTTATTCCCTCTGTAAAGAGGAGGAAACTGAGATACATCACTGACACAGAGTTCCGGCTGAGAAAACTGCCTCTTAGTGGACAAGGAGACTTACAGGGTACAAGATGAGAGACTTGTTCATCAAGTAGCACTAAGTGAGAGACCAAGTGTTGACAAAGAAGGGTTTCTCACTAAGGGATGCTCTGACCCACCGATGAAAGGCCTCACAGAACAAAGTACCAAATTATAAGGCCCTTCCAAGTCACCTTTCTCCTAACTCAGACTCTCTATGCTGATACAAGGACTGTCCCAGCCTGAGAAGGGCAGAGGGGTTCTCGGGCGGATAAGAAAAGGGAGGAGCAAGAGAAGAAAAAGGAGAGGCACAAGAATAAGAATAAGAAGGAAATAGGATGGTGTTTGGGATTGCTGTGGTCCGGCAGGGACCCCAAGTCCACATCCTGATGTCTGGAGCTGCTTTTCTCCTTCTCAAGAGCTTCTCACACTTTGACCACATGTTCACAGCACCTGGCAAGACTTTAAAGTCTTGGTATCTGGGTCCCACCTTACGCCAATGAAATCAGGATGGCCAAAGGAATAGAAAGGAATGGGAGCATGACAGGGAGAAGGTGGAAGGAGAAAGAGGAAGAGGAAGAAAAGAAGGAAGAGCAGGAGGCAGGAAGAAAGAAAAAGAAAAAAAGGAGTAGGAAATGAAGACAAGGAGTAAGAGGAGGGGGGAAGAGTAAGAAGAAAAAGAATAGGATAGACAGGAGGAGGAGAAAAGAAAGAAAAGGAACAGGAGAAGGAGGAGGGAAGAAGAAAAGGAGGAGGAGCTGAGAGAAGAGAGACATTTCCTCAAGGCCTGCTCTGTGCCAGGCATTGTGCTACACTTCCAAATACTTTTTCTTTCTTAATCATCCAAGTAACACCATGAACTAGACCAGTGCTTATCCACTTGGGCTGCACTTTTCAATCACCTCAGGAAAGATGGCAATGCCTGGGTCCCACCTTCTAGCCACTCTCCTGTAATTCAGACACAGTGGTGTCGAGGCAGTGATGTCTTTAAATCTCCCCAGGCATTGTAAGCACCTAGTGCCATGTGGGAATCAGTGGAGACAGTAACCCCTGACATCCACTGTTAGGAGCTGACCTCAGTGTTCCTGCTGAGCGTTGTCGGCACATCAGATGATGCTATGCTGTGACCCTGATTGTGCAAGAGAAAAGAGGACTCCTTTGTGGTCAGATCTGTGCCCAGATGAAACTAGAACTTTGTCCCAACCCAACAGTGTTCAAATGCCTGTCTATCCAGCTAGTTTGAGTGGCAATTATGTCATTGGCCTTGGTCCAGTCCTCTCTTTCTAGATATGATGGATGAGGTGCCCAGCCATTGAACTACTCTGCTTTGTCCAAACATCTAATCCACAATAGAGCCCTAGTCCCTTCATGGCTCTCCCAAACCACCTAGTATGAGCCAAAGGCTATGGCAGGCTCATCCTAACACCCTTTTACAGGGACACCCTACACTCCCCCTGTGCTATGCAGTCCCCTTCATGGCGAGGTTTGTTTAGACATGGGCTCCTAGTGGTCTTTCTCTCAAGGGCTTTGGCCCATTGAGCCAAACCACATCACTGACAAGTTACAGCTGAGAAAACTGCCTCTTGGTAGGCAGAGACTCACTCGAGTGAGGTCTCACGGCGAAGATGCTGGGACAAGTACACAGTTCTGACTGACTCATCCTGATTGCTTCATCTCTGCCCCAAGCCACATTGCTCTTCCTGGCTAAGCCTTCCTGGCCTAGGCCAGAGGATTATGCAGGGACCCAGCACCTTTCCTGCTAGAGAAATAGTTAACATCGCAGCTCTAGGCATCCTCCTGCTGTCCTGCCTCCTGGTAGTGCTGCCACCCTAGGTCCTGAGTGTATGTTGGGCTGAAGGGCTCTCCAGAAGGCCTGAGAGTAAACTGAAAGCTAGCATGTGGGACATATACCCAGTAGAAAAGTGATCTGGAAGAGCCCAGAGCAGAGGAGGGCAGTCCAGAGCAAGAACCAGAGAAACCAGCTCATTTCCTATGGGTGCAGAAAATGTGCTGGCCCTGCTATTTTTAAGCTGTAGAACCTCAGGCAGGATCCTAAATATCTCTGAGCTCTCTGCTCCCTCATCTGCAAAATGGGAAAGTAGAACCTGATCTGCCTATGTCTTCATGTTGTAGAGGGGATTGTGAAGGTACCTAAGAGGCTTCTAGGTGCTGACCAAATCCATATGATGTTATTTCTATTTCCTACTGTGTCTCAGAGAGTTGGTGGGACATGCATCAAATGTGCCCATTCTAAGGGCCAAGCAGGCATCTGGTTTCGGTGCAGACAAGGCAGCCAGATCTAAACATAACAAGCTTGCAGAAGCTATTTCTATCTTTTTGTCCAGTCACTTTCCCCCCAGTATTTTGGGTAACATTCAATAGGATGCCTCCATTTCACAGAAGGCAAATTTATATACACAAAGGCACACGGTTACATTTATAGATGAATTCATGGAAACGTGGACAGACATGCCCAAACATACAAATGGCCACATGGCAGAAAATCACACGGGGACATGAAGGAATCAGAAAAGGACCTTTCCACTACTCACAGATGAACTTCATTCCCCAAATTTGTGTCAGAATAAGCAGTTATCAAACAATCAAATGCGATAATGAATGAATAAATGAATGAGGATTGGATGGATGGAGGGATGGATGAGTAAGCAGATGGATGGATGAAGAGATGAATGAATGAGTATGAGGATGGGTGAGTGCATGGATCAGTGAATGGGTGGGTGGATGAATAGATGAATGGGTGGATGGATGAATGAGTGGACAGAAGGATGGATGGATGGATGGGTCGGTGAGTGGGTAGATGGATGCATGAATAGATGAATGGACAGATATACACCATCCAATTTTCATACACACACATTCAGACATATCCAGGAACTACATCCTACAAATATATAGAAGCCCACCCAAACACACGATCATCTCCAGATGATATGTTGGTCCCTCAATCCTCTCTCTGTCCTGCTTACCTTCAAAAGACCCTCAGGTCTCTCTCCCCTGCCTCCAGGCACCGAGGCCGGTCCCCTGAGGAAGGGCGGAAGTCCCACCAAAGGCACTCCCGCCGCTGCTGCTCCAAGACCCTTAGCAAGGCCAGCCCGGAGGCCCGGTCCAGCCACCCACCCGGCCAGCCTCTCCAGATGCTCAGCTTCCTGTCGGCCAGGGGTGTAGTAAGTATTCTGTACAGCCTCCTCTGCCAGCCTTGCCACAACACTTGGGGGTGGTGGAGGTACAAGTTCAGGGCAGTGTATGACACATTTTAATTCAGTTTTGGACCAAATATCCCACTGGCTCCAGACCTCATTACTGATTAACCAAATGGTCATTCAGCAGCCTTTGGCAGCACTTGGCTTGGGGATTTGGGGGGCAGAGGAAGAAAAACTAAAATACTCAGGACCTTTTATCAGGGGGAGGTTTGATAATAAATGCTGGACTCCAGAGTGACACCTGCAAGAATACACGTGTGAGATATCATAGGCGAGTTGTTTGCCAAGGGAGGGAAACAAGGGTCTTTGACATGACAGAGGCTTTAGTTTTTACTCAAATTCTGCATCTTTTATGCCAGCCGGCTGGCAGCATTTGTTGGCAGCTGGAATTTGATTCCAACTATAAATGCTACTTTGAATTTATATGAGAATTTTCCTCTAAGGAGCTCATAATACTTGACCTGTGTCTCCTCATGTGTCTGCACAAGGTCTTGGGGACTTGAGGGAACAGCTGCTGTCCATCATCCCTTTCCACATATGAAACAAATACCAAGCTCAGAAAGGTTAAGATTTGGGGTAAAGTTACAGAGCAAGGCAAGAGCAAACCCAGTTTCACAACCTGGCCCTGGATTGTGCCTGCCACATTCCCCTGGGAGGAGCTGGAATTTGATTTCAGACAGTTTGTCACTGTGACCAAGAGTTGTAGAGATGGTTCTGAACTTAAGTCCTAGCTGTGTGCCTTTGTGAAAGTGACTTAGTGTCATTTTTCTCATTGATAAACTAAGTAATACCACTTCAATATGGAATTGTTGGGAATATCCAACAAGATAAAATAGGTGAAGGCCTTTTATAGACTTACAGCCAATACTTGCAGCCAACAACTGTAAAAAGACCTGTTTGTCCAGCTACATGAGAACTTGAAAATTTTAGGGAGCTGCTCCTTTAGAAAGGATGAGGTAGAAGCAAGGAAATGTTTAGGGTTGCTTGTGGGAAAGTCAAGAAATCTGAGGCCATGTGATAAAACCACAGAGAGCCCTGCTTGACATAATAGTTATCTACAGTACATTCTGGGAAATTCTTCTCCAGTCAAGGCACCTTGTATCACCAAGGTCCCATTTGGCTCCACATCCTCTGCCTACCTGGAAGCCTGGACAACTCTCCCCAGATGCCTTCTTTGTAAGAAGGCCCATGGTTACTGAGTACCTACAGGAGGCAGGTACCCACCTGCTGTCTCTCCTCCCTAAATGTCCTAAAGTGTGGTTTCTCAGCCAGGTGTGGTGGTGCACGCTTGTAATCTCAGCACCCTGGGAGGCTGGGGCAAGAGGATCAAAACTTCAAGCACAGCCTGAGCAACTTAGCAAGACCTTGAAATGAATAAATAAAACAAAGGCTGGGGATGTAGATCAGTCCAAAGGCCCTGAATTCAATTGCCAGTAACAAAAAGGAAGGGACATCTCTGTAGCAGAAAATCCAGAGGCCTGGGTTCAAATTTTGACTTGGCTAAATTGAACATTTTACCCCTCCTGGCCCTGGCTTCCTCAACTAGAAAATGGGCATGGTTATCCCACTTGCCTCCCAAGGGCAAAAGTTAAAATAAATTTGAAATACGGGCAATAAGAGGTAGAAGAATGCTTTTGAATTAAGTAGGCTGTGCAGCCTCCCTGGTCTTAGTAATTGTGGCAGCTGACCTGGAAGCCCCAACTGACCCTAGTACTGAGCACCACTGGAAACAATTTACACTTTAGCTCAGGGATATTTTTCTAACAAGGCCAAGTCTGTCAAGATGTTCCAGAAAGCTGGAGCTGCGCCCCACACACACACACACACACACACACACACCAGCCATTCATGTTACTAGGTTGTCTCATGGCAGTTTGCTGTCCTAAAACACACCTTTGGATGGCTTCAGAAGATGCCTTGATGCCCCCCATGAGCCCTGCACTTATCAGAAGAGCTGAAATCCAAGGGTCCTCTGTACCTACACAGATGTGGTCCATGCTCAGTCCTGTGTCATCTCTTCTCATACAAATGCAGGGATGAAAGAAGGTTCCAGGTTGAACCAAAGATTGTTCAAGAGTTCTGGCCCCAAGATTTTTTTCTCTGTAGAGATAAGATCAGAGACGTTAGGAGTTCACCTCGCCCATTGCCCTGATGATCAGGAATGAAAATGAGACTTCAGAAAAGAAAGGACTTACATGGGCTATGGTTAGGTGGATCTGTTAAAAGCAATGGATTATGATTATATGGTCAAATCCTGGCTCTAGGGTATGTATAGTTCCTTAAATCTTTCTGAGCCTCCCTTTCCTTATCTGTAAAATAATAATAATAACAATAGAAAAACTATTCTCTTACCCAAAAGACAATTTTAAACCCAGTGCTTGGCCCAAGGGCAAAACTCAGTGAATATTAGTAGCTTGATGATAACAACATTCAAGATCCCAGCTCTATACTTAGAAGCTGTGGAATTTTGTGCAAGTTATATAAACTCTGTGTTTTCCTCAAAATCAGATAGACAGAACAGAGACCTACCTCATAAGATTGTTGTGACTTAATGTAAATAAAAACTATGGAATGTGATAGGTGAGTAGTAAGTGCTAGCAAATATTTGCTGCTAGTGACAGCAGCAGGACAGTAGTGACAATGGAGGTAGCAGTGGTAACGACACAGATGGTAGAGACCAGATTCTTCCTGTTCTGAATGGCAGCTGCAGCCCAAATGACTACAATTATCCCCTCAAAACTGCCTGGCTCCTAGAAGAATCACATATTCCCTCTATCTGGTCCTCTGAGTAGCCTCCATGCTCTGGCCTTTCTCATCTTTGTTACAAAGGCAGACATAAGGAAGGCTCCAGCTTGGACCAAAAGTATTCCAAAAGTCTGGCCCGAGGTTCTTCTCTATCTAGAGATAACCAGAGTCTGTTTCATTGAGTCACCTGTCAGGCATTCATTCAAAACTATCAGCATCTACTGAGCATCTGTCAAGGGTCAGGGTCTGCCTTGGCTTTTGGGCTCCCAGGAGTGAAAAAGAAATAGCCCGTGCCTTCCAATGGGAGGAGACAGGCAGTGCACAGCAATCAATGCTTGGGTAGAGTAGAAGGTTAGCAGGCAGAGGAAGGGATTAGGACTCAGGTAAGCAGCGGAGATAACAATAGCCTGAAAAACTGAGGAGGAGCAGGATTTAGCCAATGAAAAAGAGAAATGAAGATTGGAGATGAGGTATGAGATACAACTGCAGGGCTCTGGAGATGAATAGGAACCTGAGCATGAAGGGTCTTCTACACCATGGCTCCTGCCACACTCAGTTGCTGGCATTTAACATGCACAACTCTTTAAATATCAAGGACAGGAACATTACATCAGCGGAGCTGATTTGCATATATGACTATGCAAATGCAAGGCTTGAATCTTACTGAAATTCTGTCTGGTGAGCTAAAGGTAACTTGAGGCTCTGTTGTTTGGACAGAGCCTGGAATCAAACTGAAGCTCCTAAGCAGATGGGGTAGGGTCCCTTAACAACCTCACTTACGGGCCTTATTTTCCCTCAAGCATCTCTGTTCAAGGCACCAGGGGGGTGAAATATGCAGTCTTCCTTAAGTCCTGGAGCTCACAGTCTAACAACCAACAGAATGCTGCAATTTGGGGCTATAGAGTTGTCCTTAAGGTTGAGATCAAATCTGTGTGCACCCATACCAACTATGCCTGTTAAAGTACTCAAATACTCGCAAAGCAGTTGACAAACAGTCCCTGTCACTAACTCACCCCACCCCCAGTCAACTCATCCATCCCTTTCCTTCCCTGACACTTTCTGGACCTCCTCACAATCCAGCCACTACATTGTGACACTTAATCCCCTTCAACATCAAGACCAACATCTGTTCTAATGGTGCCATGAGGCCTACACCCAAGCAAGTGTCGATAATTTTTAATGTCACCTCTGGCAGTGATGGAAGTAACCACAATGTACAGGGGAAGGGTCAGAAAATGCTGTCTTGATGTCTGAGGTGATTTTTTTAAATAAGAGAACATTTACCTGGGCTTTGGAAGCTGGGTAGGAGTTCATTAGTTTGAGATGGCTGATGGCAAGAAGGGGGGAGGAATACCACTATGTGCCAGGCATTGTCACCCCTTTACACAGTTTTGCCCTCATTTGATATGCATAACAGTTCTCTGAGATGCAACTATTATCACCGTTTTGCAGATGGGAAAGCTCTGAGAGGCAAAGTGATCTAGGAAGATAATCCATCTGGGAGGCAAGGAGGCTGGTATGGAACAGAGCTTGTGCCTGGGAGCCTTACTCTGACAGCCAGCATGCAGGGTGGGTGGGAGGAAGGGAAGGCTGGTAGCCCAGATGTGGCCAAGCCCTTTTTCGTGTGGGATTCTATCTGAAGTCCCCCACTGCTGGAGAAGGGTCCCGATCAGAGTAAAGCTGGACCTAGGAGAATGGCAGGACTCTTTCATTTTTCCCTCACGCTTCTAGCTTGAGCCAGTAGTGGTCTCCTACCTCTTGTCACCAAACACCTCCACAGATGACAAGACAAAGAAAAAAACAGAGAACATCAGGTCCACCAAAGAGGCTCTCCTGATGGCTGTGAGCCGGAGAAGGCAAAACAGCATGAATGATAAAGACCCAGGAGTAGATCTGGGCTTGCTGGAGTCCTTTATCTTGCCTCCCTGTGAGGCCAGGGGTGACAGCAACAACTAGTGCTTACTGAGCAACTATTATGTACCAGCTGCCTGACTGAATTCTTTACCTGAATCCTTGTCATTTATTTATTTATTTATTTATTTATTTATTTCGGTACCAGGGATCGAACTCAGGTCCTTGCGCTTGCGAGGCAGGCAGCAGAACCACTGAGCTAAATCCCCAGCCCTTGTCATTTATTTTTTATATGACCCTGTAGGAGAATTTCCACTGATACCTCCCCTCCTTTTCTAGACTACTGCCTAGAAAAGTCAAGTGAAACA